ATCTGCCAAAATCTTCTGATCCAATTGACAATAAAGCAGCAGTGATCTGGCTACAGGATTTGGCAAGGGATAGTATCATTATCTTCAAGTTGTTGGTCCCTAACGAGAAACTTCCAAGGCCCTAAGGAATATCTCTATCACTGTTCCTTAGCTGCTTGGGAAATATTTCGTATCTTAAACTGAGACTCGAGATTCAGCTTTTGCCGTTAAACTGTCTCTACTGTCTTCAACTGTGATCGTTCTCCCTCTGGCTTTTGTTTGAGGGGGTGCTGTGGGGATTAACATAGCTGGGAAGGAACAGACCTGCTTCTCTAGGGGTGAGTGAGATGATAGCTGGAGTCACCACTCCTAGAAGTTGCCAAGGTTAACTGAGACCATGGGGTCACCGAGTCAGAGGCAGAAGCACTGACGCTCTGGACGCCATGCTCAACGCCGGTCTTCCACCAGTACTCGGGAGGACAGGGGACTGGGATTCAGGAGGAAGAGGCGGGAAGAGATGACCGAGGGCAGGAGTACTGCAAGGCAGCTGTGCATGTACCCGGCAGCACCTAGCTGTGCTGGCACAGGACACAAACGGTGGAGGTCCAGTTTGCCTTCGGCCCCAAATTCTCTGAATCTGTCCCACTTTACGTCCCCCCTCAACTCCCAAGAAACAGGAAATAACTGCCCCTTCAGCCCGGTGTCCAAACCCTAACCCCCTTCCCCACTCACCCCAAAGGAGACCCCAACTTTAGAACAAAACGCCCATTTCTTTTCTGAGACCGTACACCCTTCCTTAGGAGTGCTGACCCAGTCTATGTGCAGATCGAGGTGGGGGAATCACTCAGTGGTGCTGCTTATCACGGGGACTTTTCTTCAACGTCGGTCAGGACTAGTCACGTACAAAGCTAATCCATAGATGTAAACTTGGGTTAAGAAGTCTACCTGCCGTCTTCCAGGGAAAACTAAGAACAGTACTTTAAGATCTTTATATAAAATGCTTTTTCTGATGGTTTTTTTGTTTTGTTTTTTTGCTTTAGATACTAGGAAACACAGCTCCTTTGAAATTTGGAAGGAATTAATTTGTAGATGACATCATTCAGTATATTGAAATGTGGCAGGATTCAGATTTTTTTAAAATCAGCATTTGCTTTTCTTGGTTAAATGCAGCCATTTTTAGGGTAATAATTGCTTAATATGCCTGGCACGTTATTGAAATCCCTTATGAGAGGCTCAAAATGAGTCAGAAGGTCAATTTATTCCTTGGCCAGGTTCCTCTCACAGCACGGGTTTTCCTGTGCTGCTGTTCAGGAGGAGCAATTAAGACTTTCTGTGTTTTCAAAGCTTTCCAGCTGAATTCTGACCCCATCAAATGATATCATCAGAGCTCTGGCTTTTGCCTGGTGGTACACAGCTTTCATCTGTCAGTGAAACTTTGTGGGCTTTTATTTACTTTCCCAAGCTTAAAAACATGCGATCCGAACTCTAACGGATGCCCTACTTACTTCTCTGGCAGCCCCTTACTCCTTACTGTCCACTGGCTTTGTACAGGTTTTAAGACACCCTTGGCTGCAGTTTCCGTGCCCTATGCAGAAACACAGAAATTCTTTACATTACTACTACTTTAAGAACTCAGAAGCCCTTGTTAATTCTTACCCAGAGTGGTCTTGCCAACATCTGGTAGGTACAGAACCACTGAAAGGTCAGTGGCTACCTGATTCCCACAGATCAGTGGTTTACACTGGAAATGTCCCAGGCCACATGATCTACACACTAGATAGCTCCAGCATCTCAGGGTGGGAAGAATTTATAGCTCCAACTGCCTTTGATGGGTGCTTTCTCAGAAAAATCTCACTTAAGAACTTAGGTAGTATATCTCCCTTCTCCTATTTGAGTTCCACTGAAGATGGGCCAGACTTTTATGAACCATAAATGTACTTTGCATCCTCCCTTTTTTTTTCCATAAAAATTTCCCCTTCCTCTGCCCAGTTTTTTTCCCCCCTCTGGCTTTAAATCCTGGTGTTTATAAAAACAGAAAATGTTACAGTTCAAAAGGTATTTTTTTAATGCTCTGGTTTCAAAGCCACTGGTTTGAAAGAGGTGCTCTTCTCCAGAATTTTTTCTGTTAAACTGAAGAGGTTTAAGAGACAAGCTAACAGAACTTTTACTTCAGGATGCGAGTTTAATGTTGATTTATGCAGAGGAAAGACACTCTCCTTTGTTCCTGAGCTGGTTCCTAAAGAGCAGTGACAGATGTTTAATAGTTAATGAGTAAAATGTTACCAAATCACCAACTTCAGACATGTGAGTTTCACACAACCCCAAACGCCTATTCAAAGGAGGGTGTCCTAACAGTCTCGTGCAGAGCTTCATCTGTACTGCTGGAAGCACGGTGTTATCACCGCCACAGCTCAGAGGAAAAATAAAAAGCACCGTTTTGAATAAAATGGCTTTATTAGAGGACCTAAAGGCATGATGTACAGATGTATCAAGGCAGAAACAGAAGGAATAATTTTGTCATGGGAGTCCCATTATGAGGATTTGGCAACTAAAGACTCTATTTTTGGATCCCAGGTGGATGGAGCCCGAGAGAGGCTGTCCGAACAGCAGTACAACAGACTGGTGGACTACATCACAAAGACATCCTGTCACCTGGCCCCCAGCTGCTCTTCCATGCCGACAGCATGCCCGGTGGTAGCTGTGGAACCTCTCCCCTCCACCGTGAAAACATACCACTATATGGTAGATCCACATTTTGCTCAAGTCTTCATTAGTAAATTTAACATGGTAAAAAACAAAGCCCTGAGGAAAGGGTTCCCTTAAGTACGCTCTGAGGTGTTGATCCCTGCTTGTACAATTTTTAAAAAAGAAACCTAACTAGCTCTAAGAGTATCTAAGATGAACACAAGGCCAATACTTTACTATATTTATAGGTAATTTTTCAGCCTCTTCTAAAATTAATTCAGATTCTTTTCCCTAAAACTAAGAAGATACTTTAAAGTGCAATTAAAACAACAACAACAACTTGTTCCTTTCCCATCTGGCGACAGTGATTAAAAGTCTCTGTTGTCATCATCACACATGTATTCCCTTTTACTCTCTAATAGTATTTGCTAAACTGTTTACTGTAATTAAGATCTGTTAACTCTGCTCTAACACAAAATGTGGTCAGGCCTTAGAATGGAGAGACTGGTTAAAACTTCATTCCCAATGGCATCTGTTTCTAGGCTAAAATATCCTCATCTGCAAAAGTTTGGAATCTTTAAGTGCTTAGGATTTTTATTGTTTAACTTGTTAAATTTATTACTTAAATGTGATGCTCTTCTTTAAGTAAAACCTTCCATGTATATTCCTACTTTAAAGCCTGCATGTCACTGAAATTTACAAGACAGTCTCATCACTGCCCAGGTCCACTGTGGAAGAAATCTCTCTCCAATTCGTCTTAGCAGGCAAGCTTAGAGTAAATCCAATGTCCATCAATGAAAACAGAGCACCCAGACTGCTCAGGTGAGCGCTCTAGTTCTGTAAATAAAACAACTAGGTATACCCTTTGACACTCTCTTCTGGAAAGGTTTTAGCAGGATAGTCATACTGCCCTGGGTTACTGGAGGGGAGTCAAGACCCCCAACGTTAGCCTTAACAATGAGCCAGTCCAAATCATTTATTCTGAATTGATTTGATCCAATACAAAAACATTCCCAATGACTGATCTTATTTCTGCATTTAAGGATGGGTTTTTATCAAGACCCTGGGTTACACATATCATGTTAGTAAAAATCTCACTCTGATTAAAACATTTTTACTGACTATATCTGAATTGGGTCTACAAACTGTTAGGTACAACTGTGAGATGCTAAGAAAATTCAATTTCAAATGCTCACTAATTTTTAATTAAATCTCACATCACTGGGCACAAGCACTCACTGTGTAGTTGTTTCTGGAAAGTCAGACTGTTAACGAACAATTCAGGCTAAATCTGAAAAACTGATTCTTCCATTAGTTTGTTGTGTCACACTCATTTAGGATAGTGACAGCTTTGTGAACTTTAACTATTTTTAAGAATGTAAATATGTATTAATTATTGTATCTTTTATGGTCATTTTGCATACTGCTTCTAAGAACTGTTATATAAATTGTTGAAAATAAAAGGAATCCTTGAGTTACTGACCACACACAAATGTGTATATGCTGTCACCAGGTTTTTTCCAATACAGGTTTTCACCAACTTCTGGGTTTAATATGGCCCACATTATTAGGACCCAAGAATTCCGCAGGAGTTAAAAAGGCTAAGAAGAAGTTGTTGTTATCCTGATAAAGTGCCAATCAGTAATAAAATTAGCTTAGGCTAAAATAAATTTTAAAATTGCAGTATTTGATCACAAAGAAACAATAATTAATAAAGTTCCCACACTCTTGTCATTAGAAGATGATACTCTAATACAACTTTTTTGGACTAGATATATATTCCAATTTACATATACATACAGAAAGATAGCTCTTCAACAGTGAGTAAGAGAACCTTTATATTTTATATTTATATTTTAATTATCTATTACATCTGGTAATTACTCCAGCAAGGCTTAAATGCTTAAATGTGATGCTCTTCTTTAAGTAAAACCTGCCATGTATATTCCTACTTTAAAGCCTGCACGTCACTGAAATTTACAAGACATTCTCATGACTGTCCAGGTCCACTGTGGAAGAAATCTTAAGTGACAGAAGCCCAAGGACGGATCTTACCAAAAAAAATGTTCTCCGTCCCTTCTATACTTTATGCTCTTAGTAGTTTGGTAGGCTCCTAGAGACCTCCTTAATTCATGATGCAGGACCAAGGAGGGCACCTAGCAGTATTTCAATGAAATTAACTCCAGAGCAATGAAGAAAAAAATCCTAAAACAATGAAACCTTTAAGAAATCTTGAAATCCAGTTATCTTCCTGAGGTTCATAAATAAGCAGAGTTAAAATCTCTAATTCTGACGCAAGCACACTGAAGTATCAGTAAGAATAAATGAGCAAAGACTTACTGTCCACCGTATCTGTTAGTTTATTTATCAAGAGAAACTATTCCATAACCCAACATTCATGTTTCATAGTTCAGGAACACAGGTCAGTGACAAACTTCCATGGAACTCAACCCAAAGAAATTCTGTGGAAAAAAAAACAGTGGCTTAGTTAATGACAAGCATTCTCTGCTAACACCTCACCACCCTTAAGGTCACATGAGGTCTACTCCTGCTTCTGGAGACTACATTTGGCTCACTCACCTTCTGCCCAGGAGAAGACCATTTCAGGCAGCCTGGGCTCCAGGTTCACTCTCTGCCAAGGTCCCTGACCGTCCTAAACAGTTCTGAGCATTCAACAGCTTACTCTGACTTCTTTTCATTCACCAAATTCTGCCTTTTTCTTCCCTCTCAAGTCCACTGTCCTCCATTCCCTTCTCACACCCACATACTGTTCTGAAAAGGAGCAGCCTGTCTGTTCTAAAGAGTATTTCTCTCCCTGTCTCCAAATCTGTTTTTCTCATTGGTTTTTAAACACAACTTCTCATTTAAAAAAAAAAAGATAAAACAAATATTTAAAAATTAGCCTGTTAACATCCAATTATGAAATGTAGAACCACTGTGGAAACTGAAAATGTCAAGGTTAAAAACCCATCAGTTAAGATTCGATACAGAATCATTAATATTTACTTGATCTTTTTATTCTTACCTTCAGTCTTTTTTTTCCCCCTGTGTAATGTTTACTAAACACAGAACACCCTTGGGGCGCCTGGGTGGCAGAGTTAAGCGTCCCACTCTTGGTTTCAACTCAGGCCGTGATCTCACAGTTTGTTTCAACCCCGCATCACACTCTGTGCTAACACTGTGGAGCTGGCTTGTGATTTTCTCTCTCCGCCTCTGCCCCTCCACCACTCACACTGTGTCTCAAACTTAAAAAAAAACAAAACAAACAAACAAAAAAGCCCACCCTTATATAAAATATTTTCTAGTTATGTAGTAATCTTATGTTCCTTTGTGAATATCATTTCTAATGGACATAATATAATCAATAGTCCATGGTATAAGAAAAATCATAATTCCTTATCAATTTTCCAACCTTTGGAAATAGTTCTTCCTGTTCTTTCTACTGTAGGTTATATGGTAGATATTTCATACATGCATTTATCTGCGTTTCAGATATTTCCTTTAAGATAAACAACTACAGGGGTGCCTGGGTGGCTCAGTCAGTTAAGTATCAGACCTGATTTCAGCTTGGGTTATGATCTCACAGTTTGTGAAATCAAGCTGCATGAAGAGCTCAGTGCTGACCGTACAGAGCCTACATGGGATTCTCTGTCTCCTCTCTGCCGCTCCCCCACTCACTCTCTCTCAAAAAATAAACTTAAAAAGCTGCAGCAACCAAACACTAATAGAACAAGAAAAACACACAAAACAGCAGGAAATATGGACTTGTTCCTAACTCTTGCCCCACCCCATCCTTTGTGCAGCACGCTGTGGTCAGGAGGAAACTGACCAATTCCTGGCTCCTCCCTCAGGGCAGAAGGTAAAGAATAAAAATCGCTTACGGCATTCTGACTTGTCTGAGAGCTTCCCAAGGGACTGTTCTCTAACTTGCCTATGTGGTACCAAGCGCCACTGGAACGGCGCGGCGTACTTGAGATATCAAAATGTAAGCCGCTGAAAGGGGTGGTAGGCCCCAGGACACGAGCTACAGAGGACCTGCGGCCTCACAGGCACCTATGGGCAAGAGACTATGAGCAGAGGAATACAACAGAACAGCTAACGCTCTAGAGGAAGTGGGGATGAGACCCTTAGAGAAATTTAACACTTAAAAAAAATCAACTGAGTATACACAAGAACTGGAACAAAAAACGTGCGTGCGTGCACACGCATACAAAGAAGATGTATCTCCAGAGAAACTCTGAGATGACCCCAAGCCTTTATGCCTGGTCATTTAGTGAAGATATTCTCCTGCATGGAGTTAACCCACAAAGACCGGGAGGGGATGGCTATTATTCAAATGCCATAATTTCAATAAAAGACAAAGGAAAAGGGGTGGATGGTCTATTCAAAGGAACAATAAATTTTCAAAAACTGACACTAAAGAAATAGACGCCTCTAACTAAAAAATGACTTTAAAACAAAGGTCTTAAATACTGCCCAATGAGCTAAAGGAAAACTTGGGACAGACAACTAAATGAAATCAGGAAAATGATATACAAACAAAATGTCAACAGAAAAATTGTTTTAAATTGAAATTATGGTCACAAAAATGCAATAACTGAACTGAAAAAATCTCTAGAGGGGTTCAACAGCAGACTCAGACAAAATAATCAGCATACTTGAAAACACTTCACTTGAATTATTGAGTCTGGGAGGAGCACAAAGAAAAGAAACAATAGAGCTTCAGGGACCTGTGGGACACAATCACAAACACCAATATATACATTATGGAAATCCCAGAAAAGAAAAAAGCAGAAGGCTTATTTACAGAAATAATGGCTGAAAACTCCCCAAATCTGAGGAAAGAAATACATATACAAATATAAGAAGTTACTTGGAAGTAGGATAAACTCAAGCCCACACCAAGACATATTACAATTACGCTCTCAAAAACCAAAGACAATACATCTTCAAAGCAACAAGAAAAAATCGATTCATCACCTACATCACCTCTGTAAGATCACCAGTGGATTTTTCACCAGAAACCTTTCAGGTCAGAAATCTGTCAGATGATTATATTTAAAGTGCTCACAAAAGAGTCAACCAAAAATACAATATCTAACAAAACTGTCCTTGAAATATGAGGATGAAATTAAGACACTCCTAGATAAACAAAAAAGCTAAAGGATCAGGAATTCTTCCCTGGACCTGCAATGGACGTTCTTCAAGTTGAAATAAAAGTATACTAAAGAGTAACTTGAAGTCATGTGAAAATATAAAGTTCTCTGGTAAAGGTAAGTATATGAACAAATATAAACCAGCATCACTGTAATTATTTCACAACTCTTAAGTTTGGAGGATTTAAAAAACAAAAAGCAAAAAACCCTATAAAACTATGTTAATGTGTACGCTACATATAATCTGTGACATTAATAGGAAAGCAAAGTTAAAGAGTAAAATTTTATTTGCGATTGAAGATATCAGTCTGAAGTAGACTGCTGTCTTTTGTTTTCTTTGTTGTTTTTTTTTTTTTTAAGTTTATTTGCTGAAGTGCCTGGATGGCTCAGTCGGTTAAATGCCCAACTTTGGCTCAGTTCATGATCTCACAGTCTCGGTTCAAGCCCCGCGTCAGGCTCTGCTGACAGCTCAGAGCCTGGAGCCTGCTTCCATCTGTCCTCTCTTCCCCCACTTGCACTCTGTCTCTCGCTCAAAAATAAACATTAAAAAAAATTTAAGTTTATTTATTTATTTTGAGAGAAAGAGCTAAAGCATGCATGAGCAAGGGAGGGGCAGAGAGGGAGGAAGAGAGAGACTCCCAAGCAGGCTCCATGCTGCCAGCGCAGATCCCAACACAGGACTTAAACCCACGAACCATGCCATGATACCTGAGCCAAAATCAATAATTGGAATCTTAGCCAACAGGGTCACTCAGGTGCCCCAGATTGTTGTAATTTTATCATGTCCTATACAATAGCAAATGTAACCACAAAAAAATATCCATAGAATATATACAAAAGGAAATAAGGGAATCAAAACATGTCACAACGACAACAACAAAAAAAAATCAAATAAATGCAAAGGCATTGAGAGGAAATGAAGGACAAAAAAACTAAGATATACAGAAACAATAAAATGGCAAAAATCTTTATCAGTAATCATCTTAAATATAAACAGTTTAAATTTCCCAAATGTTAGAGTGGCAGAATAAATAAAAAACAGGAGCCAATCATATGCTGTCTACAGGAGATTCACTCAATCTAAGGATACCACACAATTCGAAAATGAAAGGATGGAAAAAGATATTCCATACAAAATAATAATCAAGAGAACAAGAGAGATTGTACTATCATACAAAATTTTTAGTCAAAAAATGTTACAAGGAACAAAAACATTACATAAAGAAAGGTCAATTTACCAAGACAGAACAATTACATATGTACTAAACACCAGAGCTTGTGTGTGTGTGTGTGTGTGTGTGTGTGTGTGTGTGTGTGTGTGTGTGTGTGTGTAAGACCTTCACTGGCTACATTCTAAAACCTGCAGTGGATGCCTGAAAACATGGATAGTACTGAAACCTGTATATATACTATGCTTTTTCCTATAGGTACATACCTACAACAGTTTAACTTATAAATTAAGCACAGTAAGGGATTAACAATAAAACAGAACTTTTCTAATTGTTAATAGTACACTATAATAAAATTTACAGAACTGTGGTCTCTCTCAAAATATCTTGCTGTACCATACTCATCCTTCTTATGATCTAAAATGATAAAACACCTACTGGATGGGATAAAGGGATGAGGTAAAGGTACTGTGGCTAGCATTAAGCTACTACTGACCTTCTGACAATATTTTAGGAGCAGGATTGTCTACTAAGGGACCACAGTTAACCACAGGTAACTGAAACGGCCAAAAGCAAAACCACGGATAAGTGTGAACTACTGTAATGGCTAGAAGAACTAGACACAAGATCATTAAGATAGAGGACTTGAACAACACTACCCACTAGATGGACCTAACAGACAGACACAAAACAGAACATGCTACCCACCACCACCACAAAACACAATTTTCTCAAATATAGACAGACTGTCCAGGATAAACCATATGTTAAACCACAAAACAAGACTTAATAGATTTAAAAGACTGAAATTATACAGAGTGTCTTTGCTGATCACAATGGACTGAAACTAGAAATCAGTATCAGAAGGAAAATAGAAAAACCCACAAAAAAAATGTTGAAATTAAACATTAGCAAACCTTTAGGCTAAGAAAAAAAAGGAGAAGAATCAAATAACTTAAAACATTAGCAAACCTTTAGGCTAAGAAAAAAAAGGGAGAAGACTCAAATAACTAAAAACAGAAATGAAAAGGAACATTATAACTGATTTCACAGAAATAGAAAGGATTGTAAAATAATGCTATAAACAACTCTGTTGACAAATTAGATAACCTACATGAAACAGATTAATTCCTAAGATACAAATCAGGAAGTAACAGTAATATTGAACAGACCTTTAACTAATAAGGACCTTCCAATAGAGAAAAATCCAGGATGAGAGGGCTTCACAAGTGAATTCTACCAAACCCTTAAAGAATTTACACCAATCCTCCTCAAGCTCTTTAAAAAAAAAAAAAAAGGAACACTTCCAAATCCACTCTATGTATTATATTTTTATTTTCAGTGGAGAGAGACTGCCCCTACTACGTTTTCCTAACCATTTCCTATGTTTCCTCTTGTGAAAACATGATTGATAATTTCATTAAAGAACAGAAAACATTCTATAAGGCCAATATTACCCCAACACCAAAGCCCAGACAAATATAAGAAAACTACAGAATATCCCTGAGGAATACAGATGCAAAAACCCTTAACAAAATACTAGCAAAAAGAATTCAACAACTCATTAGAAAGATTATACAACATGAGGAAGTGAAATTTATTCTTGGAATATAAGGATGGTTCAACATACTACAATTAATGGAATACACCACAGAAGTAAACAAAAACCACATGATCATCTGAATGGAGAAATTTCAACTGAAAAATCTGATACCTTTTCATGATAAAAAACACTCCACAAAATACATAGTAATAAATCTAACCAAGGAGGTTAAAGACCTACCCTCTGAAAAACTGTAAGACACTGATGAAAGAAACTGAATAGAAAGATATACCATACTCACTGATTCAAGAGTTAATAAACACTGTTACAATGTCCATACTACCCAAAGCAACCTAGAGATTCAATGCTATCTCTTTCAAAATACCAATAGCATTGTTCACAGAACTAGAGCAAGTAATCCTAAAACGTATGTGGAAACACAAAGACCCTGAATAGCCAAAGCAATCTTCAGAAAGAACAAAGCTAGAGTTATCAATCCCAAATTTCAAAGTATTTTACACAGCAATAGTAATCAAAACAATATAGTACTGGCACAAAAACAGACACACAGATCAATGGAACAGAATAGAGCCCAGAAATAAACCCACACTTATATGGTCCATTAGTCTACATGACAAAGCAAGCAAGAATATATGGGGAAAAAATAATCTCTTCCGGGAAAACTGGCCCACTTTCTTATGCCATACACAAAAATAAATTCAAAATGGATTAAAGACCTAAATTTGAGACCTGAAACCATAAATGTCCCACAAGAAAGCATAGTAAGTAATCTCTTGGATGTCAACCTTAGCAACTTATTTATGGACATGTCTCCTCAGACAAGGGAAACAAAACGGAAAATAAACTATTTGGACCATACCAAAATAAAAAGCTTCTGCACACCAAAAGAAAGCATCAACAAAACGAAAAGGCAACCTACTGAACGGAAGAAGATACTTGTACACCAATTCTCTGATATGGGGTTAATATCCAAAGCATATAAAAAACTTACACAAGTCGATACCAAAAAACCCCCAAATAATCCAATTAAAGATAGGCAGAAGACCTGAACATTTTCCCAAATAAGACCTACAAGGCCAACAGATAAGTGAAAAGAAGTTCAATATCACTAATCATTAGGGAAATGCAAATCAAAACCACAATGAGATATTACCTCACACTAGTCAGAATACTATCTAAAAGACAATAAATAACAAGTGTCGGTGAGGATGTGGAGAAAAGGAAACTCTGGTACACACTGTTGGTAGGAATGTAAATTGGTGCAACCACTGTGGAAAATAGTACAGAGATTTTTCAAAAGTTAAAAATAGAATTACCATATGATCCAGTAATTCCACTACTGGGTATGTACACATACACAGGCACAATTATTACTCAGCCATAAAAAAGAATGAGATCTTGCTAACTGCAACAGTATGGATGAATCTGCAGGATATTATGCTAAGGGAAGCAAGTCAGGAAACACTCAAATAGAAGCAGATGCAGGAGGGGAGGAGAGATGGGTCAAACAGAGGAAAGGTTTTAAGAGGTACAAACTTCCAGATATAAAACAAGTCATGTGAATGAAAAGTAACAGTACAGGGAGAAAAAAATACTTAATAAATTAGGAACAAATGCAAACTACCACAACATAATAAAAGCCTTATATGAAAAGCCCACAGCTAATATCATACTTACTGGTCAAAGCCTGAAAGCTTTCTCTCTAAGATCAAGAAAAAGATAAGGATCCCTATTCTTACTACTTCTATTCGATACAGAACTGGAAGGACTAGCCAAACCAAGTAAGCAAGAGAAAGAAATAAAAGACATCCAAACTGGGAAGGAAGAAGTAAAACTATGCAGATGTCTTATAAGATGCAGTCTTATAAGTAGAACACCCTAAAGATTCCACGGGAAAAAAAAAAACAAAAACCAAAAAACTCAGAATAAACTAACTCAGCAAAGTTGCAGGATACAAAATCAACACACAAAAGCCGGTTGTATTTCTATCTACTAACAATAATCAGGAAAAAACTAAGAAAATAATTCCAATTACAATAGCATCCAAAAAAATAAAATACACAGGAATACTTAATCAAGAATGCAAAAGACCTATATATTCAAACTACCAAACACTGCTGAAAAAAATTAAAGATACAAATGAATGGAAAGGCATCTCATGTTCATGGAGTGGAATACTAAAAATTGCTAAGATGTCCAAAGTGATCTACATACATAATGCAATCCCTATCTCAACAGCATTTTTGCAGAAGTAGAAAAATCCACCTAAAATTCAGAGAGACTATCAAGGGACCCTGAATAATCAAACCAATCTGAAAAAAGACGACAAAGTTGGAGGACCAACACTTCCTAATTCCAAAACTTACTATAAAGCTATGGTAATCAAAATACTGTGGTACTGATATAAATATAAACCAATGAAACAGAATAGAGCCCAAAATAAACCCTCACATATAGAATCCAAAAATTACCAACAAAGGTACCAATATCATCCACTTGGGAATAGACAGTCTTCTCAACAAATGCTATTGGGAAACTGGATATTCACAAAGAAAGAAAGAAGCTGGACCCTTTTAGAATCTCATATCTCAAAATTAACTCCAATGGATCAAAGACCTAAAAGTAACAGCTAAAACTATAAAACTTATAAGAAATAAGAGAAGCTTTGGGGCGCCTGGGTGGCTTAGTCGGTTAAGCGTCCAACTTTCACTTTGGTCATGATCTCGCGGTTCGTGGGTTCGAGCCCCGCGTCGGGCTCTGTGCTGACTGCCAGCTCAGAGCCTGGAGCCTGTTTCAGTCTGTGACTCCCTCTCTCTCTGACCCTCCCCTGCTCACGCTGTCTCTCTCTCTCTCTCCTAGAAATAAATAAAACATTAAAAAATTTTTTTTTTTTTTTAAATAAATAAGAGAAGATTCAAGGCATTTGAACTTATAAGAAAAAGTAACAGGGGCACCTGTGTGGCTCAGTCAGTTAAGCGTCCAGCTTTGGCTCAGTTCATGACCTTGCGGTTTGTGGGTTTGAGCCTCACATCGGGCTCTGTGCTGACAGCTCAGGGCCTGGAGCTTGTTGGATTCTGTGTCTCCCTCTCTCTCTGCCCCACCCTCTCCCTCTCTCTCCCTCTCTTTCTCTCTCTCTCTCTCTCTCAAAAATGAATAAACATTAAAAAAAAAAGAATTTCAACAAATTAAAAAACAAAGGTTCCCTGACATTGGGTTTGGCAGATTATTTGGATAGGACACCAAAAGCACAGGCAACAAAAACAAAAATTACACAAATTAGACTCCATCAAAATTTTAAATGTCTGTGCAAAGGACACAATCAACAGAGTGAAAGGCAATCTCTAGAATGGGAGAAAATATCTACAAATCATATATCTGATATAAGAGTTTAAAGAACTACAACTCAACAACAAAAAAACCCAATGTGATTAATATAGGTGAAGTACCTGATGAGAAAAGATGCTCAACATCATTAACCATTAGGGAAATAAAAATGAAAATCAAAATCTAGTACCACTTCACACCCATTAGGAGGCTACTATGGGGGGAAAAAAAAACAGAAAACAAGTACTGGCAAGGTTATGTGGTGAAACTGAAACCCTTCTGCAGTGTTGATAGAGTTTAAAATGGTGCAAGTGCTATATTAAACAGTATAATGGTTCCTTAAAATAAAGATGGAACTACTGTATGATCCAACAACTCTACTTCTGGGTAAATACTCAAAAGTATTAAAAGGAGGGATTTTAAAGAGATATCTGCACGTATTACAGCAACATTATTTACAATGGTCAGAAGGTGAAAGCAATCCAAATGTCCACCAAAGATGAATGAAAAAGCAAAATACATACCATGGGATGTTATTTAGCCTTAAAGGAAAGAAATTCTGACACTATAACAGATGAATTCTGAGGACATTATATTAAGTAAAATAAGCCTGAAACAAAAAGACAAATAATGTATGTTTCCACTTAAATAAAGTACCCATAGTAGTCAAATTCAGAGACAGTAAATAGAATGATGGTTGCCAGTGAATGGGGGGAATGGAGAGTGGATCAATGGATAATTTTGCAAGATGAAAAGTTCTGGAGATCGGTTGTACAACAACGTGAAGGTATTTAACAATCTGTGTATTTTACCACAATTTAAAAAAGATTTTTAAACAGTAACTTCAAACAGCTACATTACCTTTACACTCCAAAATCACTTTGCACTCTGAAAGATACCAGCCTTCCTCATCTCCTCAAAATCTTTCATGGAATCATAATTTCTGTAGAAATCTGCATATGCCTTCTTTCTTGGTTCGGCCACAGCAAACTAAAAAGTAACATATCCCATTAGGGCTTATTTTTTAAATCATTAGAAACAATATCCAAAGACAACACAAATAATGTTTGTTCACCTTTAACTTGAACTCTGTATTTCCTAAGGCAAACGTTGGAAGCATTAACACAGATGCAAGGGAAGAGCCTCATGGAAACTACTCAGCAAGAGCAAGAGGGGCCCTCCTTGCCTAGCAATAGATTACCCCTTTTTTTGGGTGTGGGTGTGTACACTGGTAAGAGCCAAATGAAGATACCCAGAAAGCTAAAAGGTTTTAGGGAGAAGAAAGCTGCCTTCCCTTCAGCAAAACCCAAATATCCCCACAGCTGACACATGCTAAAAAATTCTGGTTCAATTTAAGTTACGTTAATTTCAAAGGACTCAGGTCAATTCAGTACCCACCTGATTCTAAAAGGCACAAGAAGAGGGCGCCTGGGTGGCTCAGTCGGTTAAGCGTCCAACTTCAGCTCAGGTCATGATCTCATGGTTCATGGATTTGAGCCGTGTCGGGCTCTGTGCTGACAGCTAGCTCAGAGCCTGGAGCCTGCTTCAGATTCTGTGTCTCCCTCTCTCTCTGACCCTCCTTTGCTCATACTGTCTCTCTCTCGCTCTCTCTCAGAAATAAATAAAACATTTAAAAAAATAAAAATAAAAGGCACAAGAAGCTTTCTATCTGGTAAGAACAGTTCCAGGTAATTTATCCTTCAACATCATTTAAGTGCTTAGAATAGACACTGAACTGTTTTACAGATGAGGTATTGGGACTCAGAATTTAAATAACCTGATTAAGGTCTAGGAAGAAGCACCAGTTGGTAGATGAGTCAACCAGGATTCAAACCCAGGTGTGTCATTTGACAAAGATTTTATTTTCCAAAAAACACTACATACTGGATTTCAATGTATGGGTTATAATACAAAATCAAATCCTAATCCTGCATATAAAAAACAGTAAAAAGTTTTTTGAGTCCCAAACTATATCCATTAAGGTATTGCAGAAATACACAGAATCATGACACTTGGTACTAATAGGTAAGAGGCCTTTACTTGGCAAACTTTACTGCCTCGCCTTCTATCTAAATTCCCAACTTCTTTCTTCCAGGGAAACCAAGAGGCAAGAGCCCCAATGCAACCCTCTGAACTGAGGCCATCCCATTACCCAGAAGGTAACTGAGCATTTGTTGGAACAAGAAAAATATTTTTACTTTTAAAAATATGGTCCACTAGGGGTGCCTGGGTGGCTCAGGTGGTTGAGTGTCCGACTTTGGCTCAGGTCATGATCTCGCGGTTGTGGATTCAACCCCCACGTTTGGGCTCTGTGCTGACATCTTAGAGCCTGCTTCAGATTCTGTGTCTCCCTCTCTCTCTCTGTCCCTTCGCTGCTCAAACTCTCTCTCTCAAAAACAAAACATTAAAAAAATTTTTTTAGTAAAAATAAAAACATGGTACACTAAGGCAGACAAAAATAAAGTAAAAGCTCAGTCAGTGAACCCCAAAATAAAAACAAATGGGTTTTATAGCCCCACCTAAATTATTTTGTCTTCCGTTACACTCTAGACTTTTTTTAAGTCAAAACTCCGGACTTCAGCAAAAAATATAAACTATCAAATTAGATCCACTAAAAAAAATATAAACTATCAATTTAGATCCACTACACCATGAGTTACTTAAAAGCCATAAAATCTAGATCTGAGGCCCTACACAAAACAAGCTAATACCTCAAAGTTTAGGACAAGCCTAATGTATATAATAGTAATTGCTCTACCTACAGGGAAGATCCCATCAGGAAATATCTTGCCTCAAAATCTAACCCATATTCGTGAATTTAGGCTTAGCAGATTAACTTAACCAAAAATGATTTACTGGTTGGTTCATGTAAAAAGCATAGAATTTTATTGAAATTGTGAATGTAAGTTAAGAATAAAGGCCAAATCAACAAAGTGAATTACACTAACTGGACTGGGGAAATGAAGGAAGCAACCATCTACCAAGAGAATCAAATTTACACCTGTCTTATTTCTTTAATAAGAATTTGGATTCCTTAATGCTTTGGGAACTTTCCAACCAATCAAACACTAACTGTACACAAACACTAATCTACCAAGCAAATTTTAAAACTTCATTAAGGATGGATGAACTATGGGTCTGCCATGGTCCTGGCTCTTAATTTAGTAGAAGAGACACACACTAAAGAAAGTATTACTTAAAATACAATGTGCTCAATACTGTAAAAAAACAGTCTGGTAAAAATGACTGAGAACCTAGCAGAGCACAACCAACCTGGATGAATAGGCTGCAATTCCAAAAAGGAAACATTTGAGTCGGTCTTGAGGATAAACTGGAATTTGCCTCAGGGGTGTGATGAAGACATTACCTTTGTATACAAACTAACGGGAGAAAGCAGAATTGGGTAACAGCAACTAGTTACAAAGGGCTGGAGAACTGGGTATATTAGTACTGCTAGGAAGATGATGGAAAGGCAGAAAGGGCTAATCAAAAGGTATCTTAAAATCAAAACTAAATTCCAGCAAATCATCCCTGATCCATTAGTGAGCAATGATACCAATTTAGAAGATTGCAGCCAGTAGTTAATGTATTTACTATAGACCAAAAGTTTGAAAGCCACTGCACACGGGGCATTCAGGAACCCAATGACACAAACATCTTTTTTTTTTTTTTTTAAGTTTATTTATTTATTTTGAGAGAGAGAGCACAAGCAGTTGAGGGTCAGAGAGGGAAAGAATTCCAAGCACTAGCAGTGGGGAACCCGAAACAGGGGCTCAAACCATGAGATAATGACATGAGCGAAAACCACAATTCAGACTCTTACTTAACCAACTGAACCATCCATGCACCCCAAACAGATCTATTCTAGAAGTTAAGGTTAACAGTGGCAAGAATCCACACAAGTTACAAAGGCCTCAAGTTTGGCAGAGACAATGAGGACACTGAGAGTGAAGAAATGAGTCCCCTAAACTTCTCTCACTTCCACTTCACATCCATCCATCCTTTTCCCACATTTATTTCATGCCCACTATATGCCAGGTAGAAAAGATCTCATGGAGCAAAGGGTTTACTGTCTTGTGCTTGTCTCTTCAAAGGGTCTCAAAGTACCAATCTCTTAGTGTTTTGCTCAAGCTCTTCTCTCCCTTCAGTTCTTCAAATTCACCCTTTCAAGGCACAAATTCTACCTTTTCTATCAAAGAGCTATGACCCACACTGTGACCCACAATATCCCACCGAAAGAAACAAAGACATCAATCAACTGTCAGAGTACAGATCCCTAGTACATGGAGGAAAGGTCCTTCTTGCCCATCTTTAATTCTTCCAAACTGTACATAATCTGCTCCAGGAATAGCTATGGGAAATGAAATGTTGTTTCATTTTTATTGTCTTGCAAGAATATCTAATTTTTTCACCTCCCCCAACTTGACTCTAACTTCTTTAAAGACACATGTTTAGATGTATATACACTTACTATACTCCAAAGCACCTGGAACTCTATACCACCTACCACTGTACTAAATTTTAGACACTACATCTTATTCAACAGATACTTTTAAGCATCTATTTGTGGGCCAGGCAACTGACATCAGGGTGCCAATGTGAACAAAAAAGCACCCTGCCCTAATGAGGTTCACAGTCTACTAAAAAATAGAAAAACGCTAAAATTATTAAGTACAAAGCACTGCAAAGCTTTAATTCTCTCATGGGCCATTATAACACATGGTCATAAAAATGTGTATTATCATAAACATTTTTATAGAAAAAAGTTATAAATGCCACATGGAGACTTACAGAAATATAAACGATATAGAGTATTCTAGGAAAAAGGTGACGTAGGAACACCAGGAATCTCTCCCAACCTAGACAACAACTGCACTAGCACAATCTGTCTAAGGTCACTATCCTGAAACTTTCGATCTCTTGAAGGCATACAATTTCCAGAGGAAGGCTTAAACTGTAAATTGCAATCAGGTTAATTTCATTCACTTTGAGCTTTTAACAACTTAACAGCTACCTATTCCTCACCCCCCCAAGGAAGGCAGCTGTGCACATGTTCCTGGAGCAGCCTTCACACAGCTGTGTGGAACCAAGATGGGAAAGAAGGACCCTCCCCACCACATACAAGGGACCAGTACTCTGAGAGCTGACTGCTGCTTTTGTTCAGAGCCACTAACAGACTGGTGGTCATTGCTGCTGCACTTCCCCTACTGCTGCAAGCCTCTTTTTGACCAGCTGAGCAACTTCCAAGGAACTTAACAGGACAGAGCACCTTTTTCCCCATTCCCTTCTTTTTTCTCTTTTTCTCTTTTTCGGAGCCAGACATTAAAGACTAGGACATTCAAAGGCATCTACATATACAATTCTCACAGAGATTGCAGAATGGATTAAAAAATGACCCAACTAGGGGCGCTTGGTGACTCAGTCAGTTAAGCATCCAACTTCAGCTCAGGTCCAACTTCGAGCCCCACATCAGGCTCTGTGCTGACAAGTCAGAGCCTGGAGCCTGCTTCAGATTCTGTGTCTCCCTCTCCCTCTGCCCCTCTCCTGCTCACACCATCTCTCTAGAAAAATGAATAAATGTTTAAAAATTTTTGAAAAAAAAATGACCCAACTATATATGCTATCTACAATAGACTCATTTCAGTTCCAAAAATACAAACAGATTGAAAGCGAAAGGGTGAAAAAAGATGTCCTATGCAAACAGTAACCAAAGAGAGTGGTTATACTAGGAGTGGCTATACTAGTATCAGACAAAATAGACTTTAAATCAAAAAAATTATGAGATAATAAAAGATACACTTCATAAAAGCGTCAATAAGGCAACAACTTATAAAAATTAGAAACATTTACTCACCTAATAACACCAGCAAAATATATAAAGCAAAAATTGACAGAAATGAAAAGAAAAATAGTTCTCCAATAACAGTTGAAGACTTTAATAGCCCAATCTCAATAATAGACAACACCAGGCCTAAGTAAGGAAAGAGAGGACTTAACTTGTTAAACCAACCTAATCTAACACATATACAAAGAACACTCCACCCAACAACAGAAAACACATTCTTCTCAATTTCACATGGGATATTTTCCAGGATAGACCAAATAGGCCACAAATTAAGTCTCAATAGATTTAAAAAGACACACAAAATATGTTCTCTGATCACAACTGGATGAAATTAAAATCAGTAACAGAAGGAAAACTGGAAAATTCATAAAACTATAAAGATTAAGCAACAAGCATTTAAACAACCAATGGATCAAAGAAGAAATCATGAAGGAAATTAGAAAATACTTAGAGACAAATGAAAATGAAAGCACAACACACCAAAACATGGGACACAGTGAAAGCAGTGCTAAGGGGGGACATTCTTAGCTATAAATACACATTTTAAAAAACAATATTGGGGACGGGATGCCTGGGTGGCTCAGTTGATTAAGTGTCCAATTTCAGCTCAGGTCATGATCTCACAGTTTGTGGGTTCAAGATCCACGTTGGGCTCTGTGCTGACAGCTCAGAGCCTGGAGCCTCCGTCGGATTCTGTGTCTTCCCCTCTCCCTGCCCCTCCCATGCTCATGTACTGTCTCTCTCTGTCTCTCAATAATAAATAAGAAAGTTAAAAAAATATATAAATAAATGTAAAAAAATAAGAGAGATCTCAAATCAACAACCTAACATTACAACTTAAGGAACCAGGAAAAAGAACAAAATAAACCAAAAGCTAGAAGGAAGGAAATAATAAAGATTAGAGCAGAGATCAACAAAACAGCTAGGAAAACAAAAGAGAAAAACCAACAAGGCCAAAAATTGGTTCTTCAAAAACAAACAAAATTGACAATCCTTTAGCAAGATGGGCAAAGAAGCAAGGAGTGAAGATTCAAATTACTAAAATCAGAAATGAAAGCGGGGACATTACTACAGATTCTACAGAAATAAAAAGGATTATAAGAGAATAGTATGAACAATTATACACAGACTGGACAACCTATATGTAATGGATAAATTTCTACAAACACAACACATGCCAAGACTAAATCACAAAGAAAAAAATCTGAATAGAACTATAACTACTAAGGATATTGAATCAGTAATCAAAAATGTCCCATCAAAGAAAAGCCCTGGACCAGATGACCATTGGTTAATTCTACAAAAAAAAAAAAAAAAAAAAAAAAAAAAAACCCAGAAAACTAAAGAATACCAATCCTTCTGAAATCTTTCCAAGCAACTGAAGTAGAGGAACACTAACTCATTTTATGAGACCAGCATTACCCTGATACCAAAGCCACACAAAACAGAAAACTACAGACCAATATCCCCTACGAACACTGATGCAAAACTCCCTGACACAATACTAATAAATTGAATTCAGCAGCATATTAAAAAGACTGTACACCATTACCAAGTGAGGTTTATTCCTGGAATGCATGGATGGTTGAACATACAAAATCAATGTAATACCCATTAAAAGAATAAAACACACAGACACACAAGAATCTCAATGCAGACAAAGCATTTGACAAACTCAACATCCTTTCATGATGAAAAAAGGAACACTCAAACTAGGAACAGAATGAAATTACCTCCACATAACCCACAAGAATTTTTGTCACTTCTATTCGACACAGTACTCTTAAGTTCTAGCTAGAGCAATTAGGCAAGCAAGAGAAATAAAAGGCATCCAAATGAGAAAGGAAGAAGCAAAGTCATCTGTCTACAGATGATATGTGTAGAAAACCCTAAAAATTCAACACAGAAAAAAACTGTTAGAAATGTAAGATGGTGCTACAAAAATAGTATGGTAGTTGCTTAAAAAATAACATGCAGAATTACCAAATGATCCATCAATTCCACTTCTAGATATATACTGAAAAAATTAAAAGCAGGGCCTTGAAGAGATACCGGTAACCCATGTTCATAGAAGCATTACTCACGAAACTTAAAACATGGAAGCCACCCAAGTGTCCATCAAAGGTGAATGAATAAGCAACCTGTGGCACCGACATACCATGGTATTATTCAGCCTTAAAAAGCAAAAAAATTCTAACACACACTACAACATAAAACTTGAAGACATTATGCTAAGTGAAATAAGCTAGTTACAAAAAGACAAAATATGTATGATTCCATTTACATGGGTATCTAGAGTAGTCAAATTAAGACACAGAAAATAGAACTGTTCCATGGGCTGGGAGTGGGGAAGAAGGGAAGGGACGGGTTTATTGTTAAATGGGTATAGTTTCAGTTTTACAAGATGAAAGAGTTATAGAGATGGATGGTGGTGATGGTCATACAACATTATAAATGTATTTAATACCACTGAGTTGTATACATAAAAATGGCTAAATTTTGTATAATCTACCAGAATACAAAAAGATTACTATATATTATTTAAAAAGCCCAAAGTGCAGAACGGTAAAATTCAGTGAAGGCAGAGCATTAAAATGCAGTTCTGTGGCAACAAATTCTTAAGGCTACTAAAAAAAACTACTGCCTTCCCGACATCCCTCCGCTTTAATACAATTATACCCTTGTGTTACAGACCGAACTGTGTCTTCCAACGCTCATGTGTTGAAGTCTTAGGCCCTCAATATCTCAGAATGTAACCGTATTTGGAGACCGGTCTTTAAAGAGGTAAATTAAAATGAGGTTTGTAGCGTGAATCCAAATCCAGTACGACTAGCATCCTTGCAAGAGGAAATTCAAACAAAAACACGCTAGCACGGAGAACCACGTGAAGACAAAGGGAGAAACCCACCTACAAGCCAAGGACGGAGGCCGCAAAAGAAATCCACCTTGCAGCCACACTGATCCTGGATCTCTAGCCTCCAAAACAGTAAATAAGTCTGTTGTGTAAGCCACCCGATTTGTTGTACTTGGTCTGGCAGCCCTAGCAAACTAAGACAGCTTCCTTTAAAGTTGAAGAGGAAGCTATCCAGGGAATATGAGGTAGTTTCATGTCACACTGAGGTAAATGGAGGAAGGGGGCACATTAAAGAGGGAGTTTCTTTAGAAGACTCAGAACTACTTATGAAAATAAAATACATTTTTAAATTTAAAACACATTTTCTGGGCCATAGGCACAAAGTAGAAAGCAAACATACATACCTTATAGAAAGCTGCAACCCCCAGGGACACAGCGAATGCTCCAACGATATGAAATCGCAGGCGCTTGGCCAGAAGGCCTCGCATCTGAGGTTTCATCAAAGCACCGGAAGTCATGGTAGTTATTCTCCTTTAAAGGTAAAATATTAACAATAAGTCTTAGAACATAAAAAGATATCTAAAAGGCTCTTACAATAACGCACTTCAGTACCTAGAGGGGCAGAGGCATGATTCCTCCCACAAAGCTTACGGTGTTTAAAAGCTTAGCCTCCTTCATGGTTTTGTGGGGGGATTTTTCCCTCTTGCACCCTGAACGACAACCCTAAATGAGCCACGTCATTGCGGCACAACAGTAAGGAGGCAGCAAAAACTACAAACAAAATTACTTCGACCACGGGAAAGTTAAGCAGTGGCTCCAGACGGACAAGTGCAAGCGCATTGATAGCGTTTACTCTTGTGCGAGCTTGCTATCAGCTCATAAATCCCACTGCTCTGACGAGAAAACTGGGGCACACGAAGGAGACTTTTCCAAGGTCACGCGGTGAAAGACTGAACTCCGGCAGGGGCCCAGCCGTGGCCTCCAGGGCCCACCTAGGGACCCCGCAGACCTTCCGCCAAAGCGGCCGGGGCGCTGGGAGGCTGCTGGACGCCCACCCCCACCCCATTCCACCCGGCACGGCGACCCTTCTCCAGCTTCCAGAGAGCAGAATCACCAAAGTTCCCACACAGCGAGCACAGACCCTACGCTGCCCCGGAGCCTCGAGACCGCCTGAGGAAGAAACCGCCGCTCCCTTTTCACAGGTGAAAACGCTGGGGCCAGACAAATCAAATGACCTAACCAAGGTCACAACGACTGGAGGAAAAAACACAGCAGAGACCAGGCCCGGGCTGGCCGCCTCCGAGGCCCAGCTGCCTCCTCCAGACCCCAGCAGCCCAGCCTGCCCTCGGGGGCCCCCGCGGACAGCCGCGCGACCCTCCAGACGCCGAGGTGGGGGTGTGCAGGGGTCGAGCCGGCGAGAAGTTAAAAGCTCCTAACGGCAGAGATGCAAGCACAACTCAACTCCAGGGCAGAGCGAGAGCTAGCAACGGGATGCAGCAGTTATGAGAGGCCAGACGAAGGACGCAAAGGAGAACGATACTCACCTCAACACCAACCTCAAACCCAACGTCCTTCCTGATTCAGTAATGGACGGCTGAACGCAGGCGCAGAAGCAACGAGAGGACGGAGCGACGGTGGCCGGAAGAGTTCAAAAGACCTCCAGCGCGCCTCCAAATGCTCACAGCTGAAATTTAAGGATGTGATTAGTTTCTAACCTGTGCGACGTTAGACTAAGGACTTGACCTTCTGAGTCTGTTTCCTTAGTAAATTGGAAATTTTCTTACTCATATACACAGTTGGTATGAATTTATTAGAGAATACAAAGGTAGTTAATATGTGAATTTTTTTAAATGTACCTTACAAATACAGTGCAAACCGTCCTGGGCTCACATAGTGCACGAACTGTGTGCACAAACCACCACTTTCACTACAACTACCCTCATGTGAATAATCGTTTGGTTTGGGTAAAGGGTTAATAAGATAGCCAAGTTCTAGGACCCCAAAGACCAACTGATGAGACAGACATAAACCTATTTATATTAATCCTAAATGGAGGTCACTTCCACAGAAACATGACCCAGCGAAACAATTTACCCCCTGGCAAAGCTGAACAAGCTCTGATGAGGGTATTTGTGTGGGGTTTTGGGTAAAGGACAAGTATTTTTTTAATGTCTATTTATTTTTGAGAGAGAGAGAGAGAGACCCAAAAGGGGAGGAACAAAGAGGGGGAGAGAGGATCCAAAGTGGGCTCTGGGCTGAAAGCAGAGAGCCTGACGGGAGTGGGGTGGGGGGGGTTGAATTCAGGAACTGGGAGATCATGTCCTGAGCTGAAGTCAGCCACTTAATTGACTAAGCTACCCAGGTGCCCCAAGAGACAAATATTTTAAAGGAAGACAACTGGAATCTTATGGAAAGTGGTGTGTAAGGGTAAGGTGCTTGTGCCTTAGGGGTGGCAAGCTTAGTTTTTATTGAAATAGCCTGGATTTATAGTGTTGTTTAAGTCAACTCAGCAAGCACTGTGAAAGATACACTGGGATACAAAATATACTCGATATAGATCTAACATGTATTGATTGAGCATTTAGTATATACCAGGCTCTGCTATATAGTAGGACAAATCTTCAAGGAGGAGTCAGGGAGTCTTTGTTCTTCACAGATACTCTAGAGAGTGAAACCTTTCAGTCACATAGAAAAGATGCTAATTGGGGGTCAAAGTGAGTTTGTACCTCTCAGTAACATTGTTTTCAGACCTCTTGTCAACCATCTACCCGACTAAAAATCTTTACAGGGGTTTGCCCAAGTGGTAACTTGTTCCCATTTTCTTTCCATCCCCACTCTCACAACTGGCCCAGAGAAAAAGCAGTAAGTTTCAGAATTTACAGAGATTCCTGTGCGTTGAATATACAGGGAAAACTTCAGAGAAGTCATAGAAGAGACAGAAATGGAGCTGAAACTCAGTCTAATAGAGAGGCCTGGATAAGTGGAGAAATCTAAGAGACGAAATTGGTCAGAAGAGTATGGCAAAGACACAAGGAACAGAACTTGGCCTGGATGGAGTGTTCATTGGAGGCTTAGGAACACTGGATGGTAGGGAAGCACAGGGTCAGTCACAATAATCCAAGGTGACACCTGAATAGAACCTGAATGATAGGGGTGAATAGAAAAGATGGCATATGTGGGTTCTGTTCTAGATCCTAACAGACCTGTATTTGAGTCCCAGCTCATGACCTCCTGGCTGGAAAATGTCTTAATCTTTCTAAGTCTGCTTTCTCCTTTCTAAAATGGTATCCTTTTTTCTTTAATGATACACATAACCAAGTATATTAATATTAGTATTACTTCAACACATAATCAATATAAAAATTATTAGTGAGGTTTTTACATTCTTTTCTCATACTAAGTCTTTGTGTACTTTTCAAGTGCAGTACATCTCAATTCAGACTAGCCACATTTCAGTTTCTCATAGCCACATTTATTAATGGACAGCATAGTTAAAACATTTTAGTTGTAAGAGAATGTAAGATCTTGTATTTAGCAAGATCCACTGCTAAATAAAATGAGAGATTCCAAAACTATGCTGCATGATCTAATTGTGTAACACATACATGAAGAAATATATATGTATGATATGCAGAAAATAGTATTTAAAGTCCACAACAGAAACTTGTATTGGGGATAATTTTTTTATATTTTATCTACTTTTATGTATTCTGTGTTTGATCATGCCTTTCTTTTATAGTTAGAAAAAAAACAAATGTGATTCTCTAAAGGAGAGATGTATTTGTTTCTTATTTTCACTGTAACAAATTACTACAAACTTGCCTTAAAACAACACAAATGTGTAGCAGGGTTGTATTCCTTCTGGACACTTTAGAGCATAATCTGTTTCCTTGCTTTTTCCATCCTCCAGAGACTGCCTACATTCCTTGGGTCAATGGTCCTCTTCCTCTATTTTCAATGCCAGCTATGTTGCATCTCTCTGATCATGCTTTCCATGTCACAGCTCTTACTCTGTTCTTTTCTGCCTCCCTCTTCCATATTCTCCCTTTTGATTACATTGGGTCTACCTGGATGATCAAGGATAATCCTTCTATTTTAATGACAGCTGATTAGCAACCTCAATTTCATCCACAACTCCATTCCCCTTTGCTTCATAACGCAACACAATCCAGGGATTAGGACATGGAACCCAACTTGGAAGGGTCATTATTCTGCTTACCACAAAAGGCATCGTCATGATTGCACCATCTAACAAATATTTCTATTCTCCTCTCGGGCATATGGTAGGACTATACTTCCCTGATGCTTTTAAAATTAGGATATGACTTGCTTTGGCCAATGCAATAGAAGTGGAAGTGACATGCATCAATTTTGGGTAGAAGCTTTACAACGCAGCATGTGGTTTGCCCTGTTCTCTTTGCTTTTTGTTACAAGGGAGGAATTGATTGAAATGGCATCTGTGTCAGCCAGATCTGAGAAGGATTAAGATAAGCAGAGCCTTCCTACTATTTTACTCTGGCCAGACTCTGTGAGTGAAAATAAATAGTATGATGGTATGTTATTCCACTGAGATAATGGTCATTTGGTCCTATGGACAAACTTAGCTTGTCCTGACTGGTAGAAGAGGTTAAGAAATGTATCTGTTTTAGTTAGGGGGATGTGTGTGTAAATGCTGAGACAGGTTAAGTGATAGAGATCGTGAGAGTGTGAAGAGAAAATGGGGACATTAAGGAGGGGGGGTGGAGGGGGACACTGAAAATAAGATATGTCGATCACCACATTTTCTCCTAAATGAAAACAAAATGGCTCATCCATGATAGGGGCATCTTTGGGCCTACCTTTGAGCTCTAGAGAACCTGTGAAGTTCTCAGAGAAGCCCTAAATTTTATAACAGAACCCATCTCTTGCTCAAGAACTCCCCAGCTCCTAGCCCAGGGGAACCCTGGATGTTTGGGGCCCTCAGGAGGAGTTTTCCCTGAGGCAGCACTTCCTCAAGTCTTCTTAGGCTGATAAGGTACTGTATTCTAGGGGACTCTGGACTAGGTCATGATCTCATGGTTTGTGGGTTCGAGACCTGTGTCGGGCTCTGAGCTGAAAGCTCAGAGCCTGGAGCCTACTTCAGACTCTGTGTCTCCATCTCTCTCTGCCCTTCCTCTGCTTGTGTTCTCTCTCTCTCTCTCTCTCTCTCTCTCTCTCTGTGTGTGTGTGTCTCTCTCTCTCTCTCTGTCTCTGTCTCTGTCTCTCAAAAATAATCATAATAATAAACAACATTCAAATAAATAAATAAGTAAATAAATAAATGTGTTGAACTAGTCAAATTCAATACACATGGCTGTCTCTAGCATCCATAGTCCTCTGGGTAGATTATCACCTTGTGCTAGTAGCACACAGCCCTGGGAGACTGCATGATCATCCTGACACTGGGCCGCCTTTAAAATCAGGGGACCAGGGATGCCTGGGTGCCTTAGTCAGTTAAGCCTCCGACTTCAGCTCAGGTCATGTGTGGGTTTGAGCCCCATATCAGGCTCTGTGCTGACAGCTCAGGGCCTGGATCCTGCTTTGCATTCTGTCTCTGTCTCTCTCTGCCCCTCCCCTGCTCGAGCTCTGTCTGTCTCTCTCTCTCAAAAATAAATATTTTTAAAAATTAAAAATAAATAAAATCAAAGGGCGCAAGCAAACCTTTCAGAAAGGCCATCTCACACATTACTACCTGAAAAATGGATCAACCTGGCTCCATTTGTACTCTAAAGCCCCTCACATTTACCTTTAGCCTTCTCTGGATTAGAAAAGGCCTGAATTTAAAATGTACCCAATATTCAAATTATAGTATATGAAGAATAAACAAATCTACATGTGGTATTTTAAGCATTTTAAAGAATAAGCTAAACCAAATCCTACCACTAAAATAAAAAAGTATTTACATAGCACTTACTTTGTTCCCTGTTCTGTGCCAGCCATTATGAAGGGTGGTAAGGAATTGTAAAACCCAGCCTCTGTACTTTCGTATCTGGTAATTTCATTAAAGAGAAGATCCGTGAGACAGTATACAAGAGAATAAAGTTCAAACCAAAATGAGAGGGAAATAGCTAATGCAGAAGAAAGTTTGAAAGAGGAGAAATCAGTGTGAGATGGACCATTCATTCATTCAACAAATATTTACCAAATATGAACTGTGTGCCAAGCACTATTCTAACACTAGAGATATGGCATGAAAAAGACAAAGTTCTTGGTCTCATGCAGTTTATGTTGTCACATGGGACACAGA